ATCACCATGTTTACCGGCGACCCACCGTTGTCGCATTCCTTTACATAAAAGGTGCCTTTAAACCAGTCGATCGATGTACCCTGTGGGATTGTCTACTGAGGAAAGATGTGCCTGTTAAATATTATCAAAGCGCTGTACGCGCATAGTTCGGGCAGAGTGAGGGTTAATGGTAAAATGTCGCCGCCCTTCAACATTAACAGCGGTGTGGGACAACGTTGTCCGCTGTCACCTTTCCACTTTAACTTCGCTATTGACGAAGTCAAGGAAACAGCATTCTTTGGACACGACCTAAAAGGTGTGGAACTACTTCCTGGTAAGCGACTTCTTGACTTAGAGTATGCCGACGATATTGCTCTAATCTGTGACAGCTCCCAAACATGTCAAACAGCACTGGGCCGATTAGCACTGGCTGTCAATCGCGTTAGGCTATGCTTTGCTCCATCGAAATGCAAAGTACTTCTCCAAGATTGGCAGGGACAGAACCTTGCGCTGACCCTTGGTGATGATCAAAAGTTCAAGTACCAGACAGTTATATTAGCGCCCGTTGGATCGAAGATGAGGTTACGAACCGTATAGCAAAAGCTCGAGGTGCTTTTGCCAATCTCTGCCAACTGTGGCGCAGACGCGAAGTCAGTCTCGCCCTGAAGGGCAGAGTTTATAACGCAGCCGTCCGTTCAACCCTCCTGTACGGTTGTGAAACCTGGTCCATCAGGACGACAGAGATAAGGTGGCTGGTCACGTTCGATCATCGCTGCCTTCGCAGCTTAGTTCACGTCTGGTGGGAGCACCGAACGTGTTCGGCGTCGCATATTTAGTGTAGGAAGAGCGAGTGAACCGCTAAGCACCCTTATATCAAACCAGGCTCCGAAAGATGGGCTACGTGTTGCGCATGCCAGCACACAGACTCCCGTGATGTACATTGTTTGCGTCACGGGGGCGGTTGGAAGAGGAGGGGAGGCCAAGCAATGTCGAGAGGAATGAAAACCCTCACTTCGAAACTGGCGTCGGTTGGTGCATCCCGATGACCTGGCTGGGGTACTAAGGACGATGAACACGTTTGGTTGGACACACTTGCTGATTTGGCAAAGAGCCGACCCCAATGGGGTTTGTGTTGGGAGTTTCTTTGTCCATCCCCCTCCCCTTTAGATTCCCCTTCCAATCCCAATCTCATACAAAACGCATAACATAAAAGTTAACATCATATTACTTGCTTGGAATCCTTTTTGTAGAGTAATTATTTAGTGTCTACTTTTTGTATTGCGAAACAGTAGCTGAGGTGTGTTTCTCACCATCATCTAACGTGTATTGATGAGGATGTGATGGTCCTTTAAACTGAACTTGGTTGCTCAATTTTTAAAAATGGACACACTTGAAAGCCGAGCTGTGAGAAAGCACCTGCAGAAAAAGGGTACGACGCCGAAGAAAATCCTTCTGATACGGTTTAGACACTTGATGAGGACCATCGTCCATATACGACCGTTAAGAAGTGGGCTGCGAATATAAAAATGGACAGCGAGGGCATCTTAGACAACCCACGGTCTGGCTACCTATAAGCTTAGACGTACGATGATCAAATGGAAGAATCATCATCATCAAAAGCAGTACATCAGCTATGTTAACTTACGCTTCGCTGCCGTAGAACCATGAGATGTGGGTCGAAAAACAATAAAAAGGAGAGAATAGGGAATCACCGGAAAAACTTAATACTCTAAGCAAACGTACAGGGCCAAAGCGTTTCCACCTTATCAACAACATGCCATCACAAACAGCTGGCGATCGTGCAAAGATAAGGGGACATCAGCGAGACAACTTCCTTGTGGCTTTCACTGCCACGCGTCATAATCAACCACAAAGATAACTCGGCAACAAACACACTTCAATTGATAAATAACAGGCAGTCCGACTAGGAGACGACAGCAGACGCCCCACTGGTGCCGACTGCGCAACATGCCCTGTAAAGTCTTGAACTAAGCACAAGGTTAGTCCGTGGACTCTAGCCTGGAAGGCGAGACAGATCGACAACATCGAGTCTGGTAGTCAGAGACTTCATTTATCGCTGCCAAGTCAACTTTTGTCTACCTCCAGCCTTGCGCCACCCTACATCAGGCAGACAAAACAAGGCCCTCCTAGGTAAGAAGTGACCGGGCATATGTAGTACGTGCCAAGCCCAACGCAGCTACCTGCTGTTCTAAGGAACTAGCTTGGGTATCATTACCTAGCACTCGCCTGCACAGACCACCGTTGCGGACACGCTGGTGCCACCCGACACAATCAATACTCCGCAGACAAAGATGATGAAAGAATTAAAGGCGTCTCAGATATTCAGACCGAAGGGATCAACTTTCACTCCTATATAACAGGACGGCCCACAACATGACCTTGCAAACACGGCCTTTCAGACGGATGGAAACCCAGTTGCCAAAGACGTCGCAGATTCAAAAAGGCAATTCTGGTTTTTGCAACAGGTGAAATGACTTCAGTTGCTATGCACCCATCGTTGCTGATGAAGCTGCCAAAGTGAATCGATCAACTACCTCGAGTTCCTCGCTATCTATGGTCAAGTTTTATCAGGTGGCTGGTAGTCCTGCAACAGCATTCACACTTTGATGGTGCGAAGCGCATACCAAATAACGGGATCACTCTAAAGGGTTGATTGCGCCGCTCCAACATCGTTAAACAGCAAGACGATAACTGAACTAGTCTTTCAACAGGCAGTACCTCAGCACCTGAATTTCGCAAGGTAGCACTCCATGATAGAGCATACGACGAAATTGGGCAAAAAGTAGGAAATTAGACAACACTGACAAACAGTTGTTGTTTGAAAGATAACTGACAGGTCACCATATACCTTGATATGGCCTGTCGTGTTCGAGCATAGAGCACGTAAAATGTTCACATAGTTCATGGGAACACATTTCCGCGCAAGTATTTCGAAGAGAATGCATCAATCGACTGAATGGAGAGCAGCTACTGTCAGTCTGTGGTACGTGTGGCGCTGCTCTAGCATCTTCCGTCCCGTCCTGGGCTGAAGCCTGTTTTCTCTCCATAAGCCGGGATTCCCGTGTCGCAGTGAGGCGACAAAGGAGAATTGAGGACAATAATTGTGTCATTACCAGTGTTAGAAAACGGAAACAATTCACTGAGTGATAATGAATGATAGGTTAACCATTTCCCAGATAGCTAGCTATAACTATGAGCATCAGTTATGGTTCAGTGTATGCTGTTTTAAGGAATATCTTCGGGATAAGAAAGCTGACTGCAAGATGGATGCCAAGAATGCTGACAGTTGATCAGAAACTGAACAGGCTGGGAAAATCGAGCCAACTTTTAAGCCGCTTAAAGGTGAGCCCAGAAAGCTTTTTTCGAAAGATTTGTTACCCAGGAAAAAACTTGGGTACACTACTTCGACCTGAAGTCAAAGATACAAGGTAAACGACAGAAAGACAGTGATTCTCCTCCCGCATATAAGTTCCGTCACGTGGCATCCGCGGGGAAGGTGATGGTTGCTGTTTTCTGGGACAATTACGGTGTAATCGTGATAGAGTTCTCGCTGGGGGGTTATACCATTATAACCGAATATTACGCCAACTGAAACAAGCAAATGAAGAAAAACGAAGAGGGCAGCTCGCAGCAGGAGCTCCTCTTCTACATGGCAATGCACCTGTTCACACTTAACAAGTGACCGTGTCAGAAACAGTCGTTTGTGACTCTAAATTGCTGCCACACCCCGCTTATTCAAAAACTGATCTGTTCCATAAACTGGAAGCTCACCTTCGGGTTCAATACTGATGAGTTGATCGAAGCTGAGGCTATATTTGGAGGGACAGCCTTCGAGCTCCCACAGAGGGATAACAATGAACACTGCTGGACAAAGTGCATATAAGTTGTGGGAGATTCTGTTGAAAAGTAAGAGTATGACTTAGATAGTTCGCTTCTTGATATGCCAGGCCGAGAACTTTTCGATCCACCCACGTATAACTGGTGAAGCCGAACCAACGCGTACGGATGTCAACAGAGCAAAGTGAACAGATGCTCGCTAAAGTAATCGATCAAGAGGAAAACAAGGCAAAGACGTCTGCAGTCATCAAACCCAAATAACATGGAGAGATGCCATTGTCAGATGTGGGCTCAAATTGTAAGATACCTGAAACTGTGTGTACCTGGTTAGGCCCAAGTATAATACAACGTTGGATTAACAGAACTCAACATGTAATTTACAGTGCAGTCAAAAAGTTTTTATTGATGTTGCGTCGTAGCAAGCGGCGACTAGCAGGTCTGATCAAGGCAGATATTTGTGCCTAAGGCTGAAGGAAGCAGAATATATTTTACAAGTGAAGAAGTAATAAGAGACCAGCGGCAGTAGCATGTGCCGACAATTGCATGGACAAATCTCTTTACAAACTCGTGTGGCATAATCCGGATCGTGAATGGCCGAACAAGTGACACTGGTGTGTTGTAACCACCAAAAAGCGTCAGGGAGCCCTGTGGGGGTCAACAGAGCGGACAAGAAAGTCACAATGCGGCAACCAGATGTGTGTGGGCGGTTCAGAAATGTCGGATTAGAGACAAAAACAATTCCAAAAAGACATCTAAGGTTTGGGGTAGCAAATTTTCTTCCCGGGGGATGGCTCAAGAATAAGACATAATACTGCAGGCGTACGCAGAACGTATTATGTACACTTCGCAACCGATAACACAATGGCGTCAGGATGAGGCCGTATGCTCGGACCTGCTGCAGAAATCAAATCGGAATCGGCCCCAGAGTGCTGTACCGCATAGTCCTCAGAAACTAGCGGAATGGGATCCGAAATCGGCGAGAAATAGGAAGACGAAAGACGTGAACGGTTAACAGGCCAACAGAACATGCTGGCCACATCATCAAATGAAACCATGTGGTGCAGCAAAAGAATGATGGGTGCCCGGAGCAACACACACGTGCGATGCTAAACGTGGAAAACTTGCGACCATAGTCACTCGAGGGCGTTCAGCTCACGAACTGATTATGCAAAACGTCGACGATTTGGCTGGCCACCTGATTCATCCTTCTGATCTCCTTCCCCAGCCACAACTGCTGTTGATGATTCCGGTAGAGCTTGTTGGCGACCCTGAGCCCCAGTCCCGTCTTCATTCGATGCACAAGCGTTCGCGGCGGAACCAGCAGCACCACGCTGCTTCAACATAGTCCAATCGAAAACATAATCGAACTGGTGACTTAGTGTGCGAAATAGGATGCGGAAAAGCTGTCGAAGATACATGTAATCCGGAACTTCCTCAAATCTCAAGCCTCTGCAGTAGTTCAGGTACATGGAGAATTCAGAAGGAAAGCCTTTGCATAGAGCATCCACTGTAGTGGCCATTTTCTTTTCGCTTATTTTCTCGTATTTCTGACGTTTGGTATTTGCCTGAAGAGACGAACGTATGGGACATGATTTTAGGATGAGTGGGCGTTCAGCATGATCAAGCGACAGTTAAAGTACGTTGAGTGTTAATAAGGTCTGACAATGTATCGTGAAAAAATAGATATTACTCAACAATTATGATGTAAACTAAGGGTTGTACTGTGACAGCTAGGAGGAGCAAGCACCATAGTAGTCTCAATCAGCAATCAAGATAAAGAAACGACCAGACACCTAGGATGTTGTCGGGCTACGCGTCATTAAACGGCGACACTTGAAGAGCTGGCAGAGCAACACGGTGATAGCGTCAAAGTGCTACGTAGAAATACTGAAGCCAAAATTGGTATTGGAAGGGAACAAAGTCAATGAGAGCGAAAAGATCGCCGAAACATAGTTGCCTAAATATGCCGCGCGGAGCCATCAGATCAATCAAACAGTAACGACTGGAGTACCAATCCGTAGTAGATTCAACTGCCATACATATACAAAACTGTCAAGGAGGACCAAATTGATTACCTGATGATGTGGAAAAAACGATAGTGTACCTCAAGTTTCTAGACTATTGGTAGGTTTCACAAGTTAAAATGCCTAATCAAAAGAGATAATCACACTCTTGCACGTATGTCAGACGTTTCGCATGGACAATAAGCGAGAACATCATGACACCCAGGCGTCAGATTTGGGACTACATTCAGTTAAAAGTTACTAAATGTATGTATGTATAAATGGCTATGTTAACAATTTCCACATTTCTTTTCTTCATTTACGTTAAATATAGGCTACATGAGTTTGTTTGAATGCTACGTTATATGCGCTGACATTGATCCGTAGATACTCTGTTGGATCACCCTGTCACCCCAGCGTTTGCCATGGATGACAAACGGCTCAAGTCTCGTGACGGTTGCTCTAGATCCAGTGTCCAGCGCATGAGATGCAGAAGTGATGAAGAAATTTTGAGCATGCTTTCATCCTTGCGTGCAACACCAGGTATACATCATATTCTGCCATATGTGATATTATTTAGCTACACCACCGAGAGTGCGCACGCTGGATCAGTTACGTGATGAGTAACGTGATGATGTTAGCACTTCCTCGGAAGTTTTACCGGAACTGACCGTTGCAGCAGTAACAGCAACCGCTTCTGCCGTAAGCACTGAATACCGTAAGGAGATCCGTGAAGTAAGGACTCAGAGTATTTGTTGCACTAATGTCAACCAATACTTTTTTGTAGGCATCCTTTTACAGCCTTCGGATGATGTCAGTTTCGAGGAACTTCTCTGCGATGGCTGTCCGGATGCGAACCTCTCAGCTGCGCAAATTGACATCTCACTACGCCATTTTCGGCGTTTACATCCCGAATTGCCGGCATCTTCCCGCACACTCATGCACACACTACGTCACAGCCCCGAACGCTTCGTCCGTGGTGGACGGTACGCGCACCTTGGACTAGACGCTGGAATGTGATATGTTTTCATGCGAACTACTGTTCTACAACCGCAACAGCTACCATTGCAATTGCATGTCGATGGGAAGTCTCTTTTCCTCAGTTCCGGACAACAGTTATGGTCCATACTTGGTAGGGTGATTCAACTGCAATCGGACACCTTTGTCGACAGCATTTCAGTGGCCGCAGCAAGCCAATAGACGTTCATGAGTTCCTGCAGCCGACCATACATGCTGGCGGTCTACACGTCCAACTGGACCTTAAGTGTGTCGTCGCTGAAGCGCCAGCAAGAGATTATCTAAAGAGGGTTAAACAACATTCAGGATACTTCTCATGCGAAAAATGTACAACCGTCGGTAAGTTGACATTTCGTCTCAAATTCTCATATTGTAGGCCTAGATCAAAATCGGCGGATGACTTTCCCAGTATCTTTGGAGGATATCCTGCGGACAAATGAAGAGTTCCGTTCCCGGCACCAATGTGAGCATCACATTGATGATTCAGCCTTCGAAGCCCTCAATATGGACATGATATCTGCTTCCCCATTGATTACATACACATGATGTGCCTGGGAGTCATGAAACGAACTCTAACGTTGTGACGTTGTGGGACTAGTAAAGGAAAAATTCGTTTGCCACCCAAATCCATGGGTCGAATCAACAAGCATTTGAGGCTGCGCTCAGCATGTTTGACTGCGGAATTTCCTAGAAAATGTCACACCCTTGCAGAAGTTGAAAGATGAAAGGCCACTGAGTTCCGTCAGTTCTTGTTATACCTTGGGCCGGTAGCGCTAAGATGCATCTTGTCGAAACATTTGTACCAGAACTTCATTAATCTGTCTTTTGAAGCATATGTGTTTTGCAGCAAAAAGTGGCGCTCTCACTAGCTAAAGCTGGTTGACAAAATGCTGGATAGAATTAACAACCAATATGCGGCAATCCACAGTGATAAGAAGTTGGTATCTAACGTGCATTGCCTCCAGCACATTTGCGACGATGTGCGCCATTGCGGACCAATGGACACATTCTCGGCTTTCCCCTTCGAGTCTTATCTCCAGCGTTTGCGACGCATGGTGCGTGAGCCGAATATGTCAAATTCTCAAATTTTCCGCCGCATTGCTGAGCGTTCTGCATTATCCCTTTAGATGATACTGGTTAAGTGACAATTAGGAGAGATGCAAGCAATGCTACCGGGCTTATGCTTAATGGGGCGTTGATTAGTACTACTCAGCCCAACAACGCAGCAATTGCACAAGGTGCCCCGTCTGTCGTTGTGGACATCGGAACCTCGGAGGTGTGTCCAGTCGTACATCCACCACGAGGCACTGTCCGACAAATCCATACCCAGCGAAGATCTACGTATTAGCAAGTGCCCCGGTACACTTAAGCCACGGAAGTGAATTCTTCGAAGCCATGTGTCATTGCAAGTGTCTTACCCTGCCACTACATGGGAGCAACATTTTCTGTCCCATATTGCATAGTTGGCGTTGAAGATGTTATTGCAGTCGTTGAACATGGTAAACGTCTGTAATTTCCGCATCATAAGACTTTCGCTTTAAGGTGTTACTACCTGTATTTGAACGACACTTAGGGCTACCGTTTACAGAAGCCGTACACATCCCAATGACTCTGGGTATCGTTCATATCGTTCATACTGTCCCAACCGATTGGAGCCGCTCCATCATAGTCCCAATTTTCAAAGGAGGCTTTCGATCAGAATGCGGCAGCCATAGAGGAATCAGTCTGATCTCCATCGCCTCCAAATTGCTTGCCTCTGTCATCCTTCACAGACTGACTGGCACTCCTGAAAGCCAGATTCGTGAAGTGCAAGCTGGATTTCGTCGAGGTCGTAGCTGCATTGACCACATCTTCACATTGCGTCAGTTGTTGGAGCACCGTCACATATATTGGCGGCCCACCGTTGTCGTGTTCCTCGATATCAAAGGTGCATTCGATTCGGTGGATAGACATGCACTTTGGGACTGTCTACTCAGGAAAGGTGTACCTGAGAAAAATGTGAATATTATCAGAGCATTATATGCGCGTAGATCGGGCAGAGTGATTGCTTACGGCAAGTTGTCGTCGCCCTTTAATATCTCCAGCGGCGTGAGACAAGGATGCCCGCTGTCACCTTTCCTCTTCAACTTCGCTGTTGACGAAGTCATGGAAATTGCGTTCACAGGACACGACTTAGAAGGTGTGGAGCTACTCCCAGGAGAACGACTTCTTGATTTAGAGTATGCTGATGATATTGCCCTAATCTGTGACAGCTCACAAACGTGCCAAGCGGCACTGGACAGATTAGCACTAGCTGTTCGTCACTTCGGGATTTGCTTTGCAAAGCGTTCCTCCAAGATTGGTCTGGACCGCCTCCTACGCTGACCCTTGGTGGGGATCAGCTAGAAGTCGTTCAAAAATTCAACTACCTGGGAAGTTGTATCAGCGCCCGTGGGATTGAAGATGAAATCACGAATCGTATAGCAAAAGCTAGAGGCACTTTCGTTAACCTTCGCCACTTATGGCGCCGGCGCGACATCACTCTTGCCCTGAAGGGTAGAGTGTACAATGCAGCAGTACGTTCGACCCTATTGTACGGTTGTGAAACCTGGCCGCTTTAAGCAGCGGACCTGAAGAGGCTAGTTACGTTCGAACACCGGTGCCTTCGTAATTTAGCTCACATTTGGTGGGAACACCGCGTGAGCAACGAGCGTGTTCGACGCCTTGTTTATGGCACAGGAAAAGGAAATGAACCGCTCAGCACCGTTATTTCACGCACCAGGCTCCGATGGCTCGGCCACGTGTTACGCATGCCAGGCCACCGGCTTCCGCGACGTGTGTTGTTTGCGCGCCGAGAGTGTGGAACTAAGAAGAGGAGGGGTGGCCAAGCGATGACTTGGTCCAGAGAAATGAAGGCCCTCACTTCTGAGATGGCCTCGGTTGGAGCGTCTCGACTCCCTGGTTGGGGTCCGAAAGGCGATGAACACGTTTGGTTGGACACACTTGCTGATATGGCTAGGAGCCGACCTCAGTGGCGTTCGTGCTGTGAGTTTCTTTGTCCCACCCCATCCCTCTTAGCCTCCCCCTCCAACAACGATCTCATTACTTAGCCTTATATAATTTTGCATAATAATTTTTTGGGTGCACAGCAGCCGGCTGGTAGCTTAACGGAACGATGCCCATCCGTTACCGGTAGCTCAGCCAGCTTTCACCAGTTGGTTTCTTTTTCTCTCTCATTTTTTTCTTTGTACTGCAGCACAGTAGCTGAGGTGTTCCCCACCTCTAGCTAACGTGCATGATGATGATGATGATGATGGGTATCGTTCATGTGCAAGTGCACGACGCAGAAATTACAATTCCGTTAGTATTACCTTGCATGTTGAACTAGTAGCGCTATCTATTTATTGTTATCAGATAATCCGTTATTCACGATCACCGGTGTATGGATGATTAGTGAACGTACACTCAACTGGAGATTGCTACATCCCGCACTATATTTAAGGACATAAGCGTGCTTTGACGTCTCGTCCCTGGAAACGCCGACATCGGATATCGGAATGGAATGC